AAGAGGAGGAAGAAGAGGAGGAAGAAGAGGAGGAAGAAGAGGAAGAGGTGGTTAGTGTCAGTTTGAGCAGAGGGTCTGGGGGCCCGTCCCTCCAGGTTCAGGGGCCCTCGGCCTGAAAACAACAATAAAAAATAAAAAAACATCCCACATTAAATCTTCATCTGGTTCTAAACATTCAGTGAAAATCTGAATTTATTTTAACAAGAATTTACTAAATTATCGGTTTACGAAATGACGTCACATTTTCTGGGAAACGGCACCGAAAAAAACAAAAACAAAACAAAACAAAATCGAGTTGAGTTCAGACGACTTGAGTTTAAAAAGTCTGATCATGATTTGAGTAAATTTCACTTGACGAGTAAAAATTATCCACCAAAGAAATAAATATGTAAAATATGAAAATACATTTTGCTGCGCTTAAAAAAAAAAAAAGAAAAACAACAACTTTTTCTGCTTAAAATAAAAAACAAAATCAAATGTGGCTTGAATTAAAGAAAAAATCACTTGTTCCGTTGGTCGATCGTTTGACTTTTCAAGTTGAATCGACTCAAATAAAGTCAAATGTTTTTAATTTAAGTCACTGTAACTTAACTAGATATTGTTTCTGTTCTAGTGTGTCTTACAAAACATTTTATCGATAATAATTTTAGATTAAATTCGTCTGTTTTCATTCAAATCGGCCTAAAAACTCCTCAGCGCGTGTCCAGAGCCGCAACGTTTCAGTAAAAATCTACAAAAAACAAAAACAAAATCAAACTCCGCGGGGACGCCGTGACGTGCGCGTGAGACGCCGTTACGTCAGAGTGAAGCGGCGCTTTACGCACGACAAAAAACAAACAAAAAAACAAACAAACAAACAAACTCCCAGCGGCTCCAGAACGAGACTCAAATAAAACTCTGGTCCGCGTCAAACGAAAAAAAAAAACAAAAAACAAAAAAACAAAAACGCGCTCGCTTCGTCACTGTGAACGTTGTGCGCATGTGCAGAGCGCGCGAGGCCTCGTGCGTCTGCGAAACCAATGGGCCGTGGCGCGCGCGGCCGTGACACGCACGAGGAGGATTCGGCTCATTAAAAAAAAAAAAAGACTCGGTTCTTATTGTGACGTCATTACGCGTTAACTTGACGTGGGACGAAAATGAGACGTTTAAAGCGTGGACCAAAGAGTGAAGAGTTTATTCATTATTTTTAAATTTTATGTTGACTTGTACTTTTACATTTATATCATTATGTTTTATTTCACACGTGTCTCTTGCTTTTTTTTTTTTTTTTGCTATTGATTTAGAATTTATTATTACCATTTATTTATTTATTTTTATTGTGACGTGTCCAAATCTTTTCCTTTGTTTACGTCTACAATTTGAAAATAAACATTCCGTCCAAAATTTCAGCAAAATTTACACAAGAAACACATTATAAAACCGGATTCCAACCAAATAAAGTTTTTTTTTTTGTTTGTTTGTTTTTTTTTTATGTTCGTATTTGTCAGAATCTCTGGGACAGTTCGCTGCAAATTTCTCTGATCTGAAAATTGTTTAAACTTCTATCAGGTTATTTTTCGGTTTATTATTATCTTCATTCTCGTCGAGTTGTTTATTTGAAGAGAATTTGTGGAGTAAAATGATCCGTCTGTGCAGTCAGATCATTTCACGACTTTTAAATGATTTTCCGGTAGATTTAAGTGTTTAGCTCATGAGGTTTTTTTTACAGTGTAGGAGTTTGGTTGCTACGGTAACAGTTCTGTCAGATTTGGTCAAATGTGAAACCCCCCCAAAAAAACTCTGTCCAAACTGGGATCTTATTTAATTTTGTGTTTTTTGTTTCAGTTTTGTGACAAAAATACTCAGCGTGGTGTTATTTTTCATAAACGCCTCTTTTATATTTCACTTTCTCTTTTTGTTTCTCAGGTTCAACACAAACTGGAGAGTTAAAAATTCAGGGTGAAATATTTCAGACTTGTTTTTAACACAAAAAGGGTTTTATTTTTACTCTTTGAGAGTTAAATGTGTGTTGGAGTTGGGGTTATTTGTCAGAGTTGATTTGGTTGAAGTTAATTAAACTTCTCTTAGTTTTAATTTGTTCATAATTTCATCTTAAATTAACTCAAATAAAGTGTCAAAATAAAACTCGTTGAGTTAAATCAGGATAACTCTACAAAGTGTTATCTGTTTACTCTCTAAACCTTCATTTAACTCTGGATTTGGAGTTAAACAGGAACTTTGGTCCAGTTTTACTTCATGAACATTTAAACAAGTGTTAAATTAACTCTAGAACAGAGTGACTCAGAGAAACTCTGAGGAAATGTTAAAAATGACTCTATCAGAGTCAAATTTAACACTCATGCACCAAATGTGTGATTCAAATGAGAAACTCTGCACAATTGAGACTTTTACAGGTGAAAAAAAAAAAGGAAAAAAAAGCTAAAATTAGAGCTTTTAAATTGTGACACAACGGCCCAGAAATCACTTTTAAAATCACTTTTAAAATCACTTTTAAAATCACTTTTAAAATCACATTCTGTCTCCTCTTCAGGTGGAGCAGAGTCAGCAAAAATCCTGCTGAGTCAGCACCACACACAAAATGTAAAAACTGATTTAACACGACGACAAACATCACGGCTGCTACTACTGTTATTATTATTATTATTATTATTATTAGTTTAATTATCAGTGCAATAACTCAAATCCCGTCATGTTACAACGACTTGAATTAAAAAGCAAATTTCACTGAACAAGAAAAATGACCTGACAATGAAACTAAACTTTTCACACTTAAAATATGAAAATACAACTTTCTACGCTCAAGAAATAAATGATTCAAATGAGAAAAGCTCCAGATTTCAGATGGAAACAATGATGCTATAATTAGAGCCTTTAAACTGTGACATAACAGCCCCAGAAATCACATGAAAAATCATATTTAATCACATTTAAAATCTCATTCTGTTTCCTGTGGTGCAGAGTCAGCAAAAATCCTGCCGAGTCAGAAACACACAACAAAAAATCTGATTTAACACAACGACAACAACCAGCATAACAATATTATTCCTATTGTTATGATTACTACGATTACTACTGTCACTATTAATGCAAAATCTAAAATCTATCCAGGTTAAAATGACTTAAAATTCAAAAGTTTTGAGTAAATTTCACTGAAAAAAGGTGAAAAAAAGATGCTATAATTAGAGCCTTTAAACTGTGTAACGTCCTGGAAATCACATTTAAAATCACATTTGTGATGCAGAGTCAGCGACACACACACAATGAAAAATCAGATTTAACACGACGACAAACATCACTGCTGGTACTATTGTTATTACTACTATTACTATTATTACTATTATTACTATTATTACTACTATTACTACTATTACTATTACAGTGCAAAAACTAAAATCCATGTGAAGATGACGGGAATTAAGAAAGTTTGTTGAAAATTTGAGTAAATGTCA